GGGCCATCACTGTCAGGAAGCAGCCATCGCCAGGGGAGGAGTCACAGAGGACTTCTGGGTTTCCAACATCCCCCTAACTTTTGACAGCTTGATTTGTCCTTTCTCTTCTCTCCATCCACAGCCATGGACCCCTAGAACGGGACTAGGAGTTGGGATGGTCTATAAACGACTATGTAGGCACCTACTACAGCATGGGAAGGTTTAGACAATAGTCGGTCTATCTCTTTAAAAAACATCATTGTGGTAACCCACAGCAGTAAAGGAAATAGACGAAACAAGTGAAGTCTTAATGTCTACTGATTACCTTCCTGAAAACCAGTTATATAACAACTCTTCCCTGGCTGTTTACACACATCGCTGTAATCCTTAGAACATGAGGGCAATCTCCGTTCACAGATGAGAAACAGGCTCAGTATCCTGGAGGAAGGGGGCAGAGCTGGATGTAGATTTGTCCCTGGCTAAGTCTGTGTTTGGTCCTATGATGCTTCCTGGCCAGGAGAACCTCTTCCCTTCACACACACACACACACACACACACACGTATGTCTGGGTAAGTCTCTTGAGGATTTGGAGAGCCAGGATGACCAATCCTTTGTCTCAACAGCTGTTCCTAAGAAGGGCTACAGATTGAAAAGGACTGAAGCATGTGTTACAACATGGAAGAAACTTGAAAAATTATGCCAAGACCAAGACGTTAGTCACAAAAGACCATACGCTGTTCAATTCTATTTATAAGAAATGTCCAGAATAGGAGACTCTACAGAGATAGAAAATAGATCAGTGGTTGCCCAGGGCTGTGTGTACATTGGGAGGACTCGGATGAGGAGGTCATAGCTAAGGGGTTGGGGGAATTGTTGTTATAGTAATAGTAATGAAAATATTCTAAAGTTGATAGTGGTGATGATTGCTTAACTCTGAATATACTGAAAGCTATTGAACTGTTCACTTGAGATGGATGAATTGTACTCTGAGAATCACAGAAAACTAAAGCTGTTAAAAAAGATGCCTAGCAGGGCCCCCCTGGTGGTGCAGGCCATTGAGAGCTGCATTGTGAAGCTGTTTGCGGCCTCTGCAGGGTGGGTTTGATCCCGCCCGCTAGTGAGAATCTCCATGGCGAAGCAGACCTCTTCTGTCTCACCCGCTGCTCCCCTCAGCAGTGTATTTTGTCAGTGTGCCTATTCTGTTCCCCGCTCTGTCTCTGGTAAATCCGCTTACCCTCCAGCGCATCTGGCCTGTACCCTGGTTCTTGTATAAAAATAAATAAATCTTAAAAAAAAAAAAGATGCCTAGCAGCAATGTCAGTGTCGCAACCCGACAACAAGTCAGATAAGTTGGTTTTTTTAACTTGAAGCCTCACTTGAAAAAAATAGCATTAATATTTATTGACTGTTAACTTTTATACCAAGCTCTATACTAGGCTCTTTATAGGCACTTACTCATTTAATCTTCACAACAACCTAAGATGCACACACAAGTATTAAGCCTCCATTTTACAGATGGGATAACTGAGGCATAGAGACAGTAGGACGTGCTTTTGTACTAGTAAGGGGTGGGGCCAGAAGTTGAGCCCAGGACCTGACTTTAGAGCTCTTATCACGCATACTTACTATGTTGCCACACAGATGTGATAAATGGAAGGGGCAGGATGGAAAGTTCTGCCTCCCAGCCCGCTACCTCTCTGGGATAATAAACCCTAATTATGTGCTGAGTCCCCTGGAGTGCTTTGTCTAGCTGAGTAATCTGTATTTGCAACAGAGTTGGTTTCAGTTACCTTAAATATGATGTTCAAGTTCATGGTTATTGATTTTAAATCTCTGTATTTTTTTTTCTATTTACTTTCTCGCTCCTGTCTGTCTCTCTCCACCCCCACATACTCGCCCCTCTCTGAAGTTGTACTTTCCTCTTTGCCAACCTTAGTTCCCTACCTTATTTGAATGAAGGGACAGTCGAAAAAACACGTGAATACAATTTCTACTTCTAGTTGTGAAATAACCTTGAGAAAATTAAAAAACTGGATTTAGATTCTGTTATTTCTGCCTTATGCTTATATTTGCCATCAAATCATTTGCTCAACAATCCTGGGATATCAACTCTTTAATCTCAATCATATCTACAGCTCTGGGCTCCCATCACCAGCCTAATGTGGGGTGAATAGTCACACTTCTTTTTGTGATGGTGGGTCCTTTTCCCCCTCAGAGAAAAGACAGACACCACCACTTATATCTCTCAGTTCCCTGGAACTGTTGGAATGCCACGCTTTCTGGTTAATTCACTCATTCACTCAAGAAAATTCCATAACACTCACCAAGCTTTCTTAAAATATTTCCATTCTTGTGCAAGATGGTTATTATAAAAGTTCTCCTTTGAAATTTTTTTTTTTAGATCTTTCTTTCAATCTAGTTGTGAACAACTTTTCCACTGGACAACACTATGACTTCTAAGTAAATAATAATATGTGTCAAATCTGATCTTTTTATACCAATTGGAACCCTCCAGCTCCCTATCACCAAATCTACTTGCAACTTTTTTTTTAAATTTTATTTTATTTTATATATTTTTTACATCATTTTTCATTTTTGTACAATGTATACATTTTCATCTTGGTTATAGTCCCCATACAATTCCCACCCCCCCTTATTTTAACCATAATTCCTCCTACAACCCCCTCCCCCTGTAGTGTGTCTCTGGTTTATAGTTGCTTGTTGATTTTGATTTTTACTTTATTATAATTAGTCTTTTTCCCAGTCCCTTATTTAGGTTTTCTAAATTCCTGCTATGAGTGAGACCATCCGGTATTTTTCTTTTTCTTTCTGGCTTACATCGCTGAGCATGGTCCCTTCCAGCTCCATCCATGTTGCCGCTCTGCTTGCAACTTAATTGGGAATGGAGGTGGCTATTTGCCACCTCTCTGATGAATTTTCTTCCTGTTCTGTCCAACTAGTTTACCATACACACTGAGAGGGGCATACGATGCTTTTCAATATAAAATGTGTCATCCAGGGATCCCCCACGTGATCCAATCTCTGAACAGCTGCATTTCGAAAGTTCTGTAACAAAGATCATTGGAAATGCAATTCAGGGCTTCCTTAAAGAATGTCGAAAAAGGATGTGACCCATAATCACAGAGCAAAATTTCTTAAGAATCTTGCTCAAATTTCTGAAAATCTCAGCTCCATCTTCCCCATTTCTCCCACAGCGCTCAGATTTGCCTCCCAGCCCATGCTCGAGCAGCCTCTTCCTCTTTGGAACACATAACTTCAGCTTTATGGCTCTTTCTACCCGTTACGTAAATTCATTGAACCTCAGGTCTAGCATGAAGCAGCTTCCTGCACACACTCTTCCTGAAGAAAGCAGGCAGTGTGTTCCCCCAAGTCAACTTCTTTTCACCCTGATATTCGGAGAGTGTGGGTGTTTCACTCTGTGCCAGTTTGGGGGTACTTTTTTGTTTTTGAGGACTCACTATATTTCTAAAGAGAACACCTTGAGTTTAAGGATGTGCTGGGGAACTTGAGAAGCAGGAGCAGCCTCAGCAGGAAATACCAGCATGTTTACTCTTGTCTGGACAAGGACCCCCTTCTTTTCATCTTGATCAGGGCCCTGTGCGTGACACATGCTGTCCGGGTGCTGAGGCCATGGTCCTGAGAACTGTCTACTTTGCCCGCTTCCTGCTCCTTCTGCTCACTTCTCGCTTGTTGGAAGTATTTTTCGAGGCAGAGAACCTTGAATTGTTGTCAGGTATCTTGTCTCAGGTGTATCTGAAACAGCCAGGAAATGTGGGAGGGACGTGGGAGGAATTGGTACCAAAGAAGTTGTTACTGGCCCTCACGTGGAGAGGACCTTCCTGTCCACGATAAGCGGTGGCTGTTTGAGCTTTTCTCACCAAGAGCTTAGCTGGGGTTCTGGTTCAGGACCCTCAGTGTTTCTGGGGTGACTCGTTACAGCTTCTAAGCACCCCACCTATATTCATACTAAATGCATCCTCCTGTAGTGTGGTGAGTTCCTTTTTCTGAGTGTGCAAGAATGCTAGTGTGCAAGAATGGCTCACCTAGCCAGGAGAACAGGGCCCAGTACTGCATGAAGCGAGCAAAGTGTCACTCCCAAGCATGGGCCCCACCACGGAGGGTCTGGCAGCGTGGAGCTGGCGCAATACCCCAGGGTAGAAGGGGGCGGGTGTTTCGGGTTCTGACTGTACAAGCTGTGGGCCCAGTGTGGCTCTCGGGGTGCCTCGCACACTACGGTGTTAGTCTGCCTAGCCAGGAAAGGTGACTCCTGGGAAGCGGCTGCTCAAGCTATGGGGTACTATGGTTGAAGCTCTGTGAGCCTGTGTTTCCTCGTCTGAAAGCTGGAGGAGGTATTGGTGACCACTTAGAACATTCAACAAAGACGAGAGGTCATACCTGGCAACTGATCAAGCAATTGTGCCTACTTGTGGCCGTGATTACGTGCTGGCTCAAAAATGCTAGTCAGCCACTGTCCACCCCGGGTGGGCCGCCTGTACTTCCCCAATTTCGAAATGCCTCCCCTCTGGAGAGTCATCAGCATTTAATCAATAACTCTTGTGGTTGGAGGCTGATACACATATGTGCTTTTCTGAGCACAAAGAAAGAGCAGAGAAGGCAGTGGCACAGCAGTCTCACAAAATGCTCCCTCTCCATCCCGCTGGGCTGCCTGGTGATTGCCTAGGGCTCGTGGCTCTGCACCAGGATCACCCCCCCCCCCAAAAAAAAAAACAAAAAATATCTGCAGTCTTGATTGTCACCACTTGGGTGGGGGGCACTACTGACTTGCAGAAAGCAGGGGTGCTGCTAAATTCTCCACAATGCACAGGACGCCCCTCTGCCCATGACCTTCTGGAAGCCAAGGAGACAGTGTAGGTGATTTCTTTCCCCAACAGTCTCTAACGGAGCTGTAGAGTTTCTCAAACTCTTAGGAGAATCCAAGCAGCCCTGAGCAAGTGGTGATGTGGGATTTTTGTTTTTCAGATTCAACTGGCATGAAAGAATGGCAGACACAGGAGGGCCCCCGAGGCACACGCTTTGTTTCTTATCTACACTGCTTTCCCAGAAAGTTCCTGAGAAGTCAGACACCACACTCCGCTGCATAATCTCTGGTAACCAATACTAGCTCTGCCTTTTCCCTGCTCACCTGGTGGTTGGCTCACAGAGGCATCATTTGGGAAAACGACCTCGGAAGTTTGTTCTGAGTTATTTCCACGGAGCAACTTAATCCTCTCTGACTCTTGTGTGAAAAGATTTCTGCCAGGGATGGGGGGCTGGACTTCCTGGAGGCATTGTAGTGATCTTCCTCATTTTGCATTGTGGTTCTTGGTGAGGCAACTCCCACACTGGCTGGTTTTTTTTTTTTTCAGATAATCCATTCTTAATTTCCTGTGGCACATAGGAATGGCATGAATCACTCCCCCTCAGACAATTCACTGAACTCTTCTTCCACCACTCTTTTCTTCATATCCCCAAACTGGCTAAATTGGCCCCCCACAACTTGCTTTTTTCGGGCAGGCTAGTCCGCAGAGAAAGTTAAAACCAAGACGAAGGGTGTGCAGTGCAAGAAAAGAAGGGGCCTGGCCTCCTCTCTGGACAGGAGAGTAAACAACCCAGGGGCTGGTCCAGAGCTGGTATCCCCATGTCAAAAAAGATTTATTATTAAAAGAAAACACACCAAAAAGTTAGGTAGGAAAGTGATATCTTGGACCTTGGGCCTGGCCCTTCTTCTTTCTTGGACTGTTCTTCTTTCCCTCCACATCATGGAGGCATCATTGGTCTTTCCTGTGGGCAGACAGAAAGTTCTTTCCCTCCAATCCATTATTTTTAAATCCAGAGAGAAGAGCCAGCTTTGGGCATGGCTGCCCTTTCTTAGCAGTAGTCGGAATGAAACTTCAGTCTGGATGCTGGAGGAGAACCATGTGCTCAGCCTCTCCAGCCCCAGAGCTGAGCCCCTCACCTTTGTGCTCATCCTTGAGGTTCAGATAGGGGGGCAGACCCAAGCCCACTACTGAGTGCTCAGAGCAGGGCCCTCTTGTCTCCCCAGGAAGCCTGTGTTTGGGCGCTCCCTCAACTTGGCCACTGTCCTCCCCTCCCCCGACCTTCCCTTCCCCTTCCCCACCCCCACATTAGCCAGGTGCTTGAGAAACATCCTGGAGGTGACTCTGGGTATGTGACCTGCGGGAGGCTTCACAAACAAGGGTAGGATTTTCAGGTGAGGTTTCCAGCAACTGGAGGGAGCAAATAGATCCACCCACAAGGTATAAGATACCACTTCCCTGTGCAAGTCTCATTTCTGGTCGATTATTCAGATCTGTACCACACGGAGGGAAAAAAACAGTCAGTCATTAAGAATTGGGGGCAGAGGGAGATCAGTTGTCCTGATCAGTCTGAAGAAAAACTGAGTCCAAGAGATCAGGATGATCCCCAGGTCCAGCTCACACATTCTGTGCACAGTTCTTCACATGAGGAAGGAGCAATCAAATCCTCCCTAAGCTTTTGGCCTGCCACCCCTCTCCACCAACCTTGCCACTTGATAAAATCATCACATTAAAATAAATCCTTCCTAAGAAGGAATCGCATGCAACTGAAAGTGGGACACAGGCTGACAAGGACAGGCAGAAGTGAAGGATCATCGGACCAGCAGCCTCCTGTACGATGGTCCAGGGACACTCGTTTTTGGTGACTTAGTCATTGGCCTGAAACAGTCTCTGCCAAGTTGCTGCTTGACATGGGCATGGCCTTGTGGACTTCTGTCTGCTGCTGACTCCAGGGACCCCTACTCACGGGCCTCCCTGAAAGGGGAGGCAAAGAGGGACACCCACTGTTGGCACAAGCACATTCATTGGTACAGAGGAAGCCAAGATAGGAAACCAAAAATTTGAGGTGACATAGAGGGAAGAGAAAGGGGCTTGGTGGTCCTCAGATCCATGTGGGGCTCAGGGTCTCACAGACTTCTTGCTATTTCCCCAATTTCTTTTACCGTTCCCCCATCTACAATCTTAGAAGAACATGGGGTCTTCTCTTAGTGGTCTCTGGGGTTGCTCATGAAAAACCTGTGATCAGAAGTATTGCTGGGAGGGTATTGTTTACAGATACCAGGTTTCCCTCGTACAGATGACACCGTCCAGTACACGGTCAATGGGCTGGACTGGACACGAGGGAGAACCAGCTCTTTGGGACACACTGGGACCCTTCCTACCCTGTCACAAGGGAAAAATAACCTAACTTTTTTTTGGGGGTTGGGAATTAACGCAATAGCATCACATGTAGTTAATGGTTGCCAGGGAGGAGGTGCAACTGGAGAGGGAGCAAGCTTAGTCAATTTCTAACATTAGTGTCTGTGCACAGTCCCAGACTAGGAAACCCACCTCCCAGACATCTGCACTCTCAGGAAGATGTGGCATAAGCTAATTCACTTTGTTCTTCCATCTGTCACACCATAAAACACACTCGTCTCTGAGCTCTGTCACAGCACGATTTTCAAGAAAGTAATGTGACGCCCACATACATATGAAATGAGTGTTGCAAAGATTTTATCTGATTCTTTGAATAAAGAGGGAACAGGAAGAGTTCAGGCCCGGCCAAAGAATATTTGAGGAATTAGTTATTTATTGGCAACCTCATAAAGGATTGTTAGGACTGCTGAGTCAGGCACACATTAGTTAATGTCCTACAGGGCAGAATTCCTCTGTAATTTATCTTCTCTGCCAGACAGAGATTACTCACATCTCTATTGGGTAAAATTCTCCAAGTTTACTTATAACTTCACTAAGTCTGAGGATTTTAATCAGTAGTAATCCCTGAGTGAGACAAAGTACATTCCCTTAGATAATTCTTAGATGAGGCTTTGCTCCCATGTGACATCAAAAGATGATACTATCTACAGTTTTGCCTTATTCTAAGTGTTAGGCAATTTTTCTCAATAACTTTGAGCTTAGAGATGGTATTTCTAATTTTATAGGCCCCTCCCCGCCCCTGCATACCACGATCTTAGCACAGAACATATTCAATAGAGATTATTGAATGATGGATTCTCATCAACCTGGAGCAGTTTCTCCATTTCACCAACAGACTAATATGCATCCCTACAGAGGCATATTACCCATTTTTGTGCATAGCTCTACATTTTTCTTTTTGATAGTTACCTAATAAAATATGAATATTCTTATTTCTTTATCATCAGGTCAGCCCAAACCAGAGGTAACTTGGTATAAGAATGGTCAAGCCATAGATGAACACGACATTATTTCCAGCTATGAATTCTTCGAGAATCAGTATATTCATATATTACATCTCTATGGGTAAGTGGATATGCCTCTATGGCCTGTTTACTAAGATCCCTGCATTGTGCTGTCCTGAGAGGGTTATGACGAATTAAAGTCAAAGATTGGTTCGTGTTTGCTGTTTTCATCCCAGTGTTGGGTATTCTTGCAGGCATTGGTCAAAGGCATCCAGCAATGACTGCCAAACTCTGCCTGGTGACAAGTCTAATTTGCTGCCATAGAAGAAATTACAACTTTATTCAGACGTTTATTCAAGATGGTCCACCATCAGCCATGTTCATTTACTAAGTGGGTTTTCATTTAATCTTGTTTTTCGCTCTAGCAAGTTAAGAAGCACAAAAGAATCTGCTCTGTTATTCAGCCTTTCTCGTATAAGAATGAAAGGAAGGAGATTAACTGATCAGGAGCCCACAGGGAGCTGGCGATGGAGTTAAGGCTAGATACCCATCCCTCTGACTTTAGGATGGGAAGTGGCACCGTCCAGTACTGTGGTTTCTAACCCTTTCTTCTTCCCCTGACAGCTGTTTGTCTGGATAAAATCAGAAAGCTCTGTATGAAAATCAGAGGTAGTAAGAACTGCTGTGGCAGCAGCTGGGCGGGGAGCTCATGTTTTGGGCTCCTGATATGGCTTCACTGTCTCCATGTCCCGTATATTCCCGAGGAGCCTGGTGTGATAATTACAGGTGCCAGTGGCCTGGGATCTGAGAATAGCCACGGAGGACTAGGGTTTGAATCCTGGTTCTGACATTTGCTGGCTCTGTGACATTGGCCCATTATTTAACCCTTCAGAAGTGTCTTCATCCATGAAATAAAAGGGTGACTGTGAGAATGAAATGATTTTCTGTTCATGAGAGGCCTTCTAGGTAGTAGTTGTTCAGTAAACACTAACTTGTCTCCCCATTCTCTATTTGGTTTCAAAGGAAGATCAGAGATCAATTTACCATCCTTGAAATACTTGGCTCTATTAGCTTATAGCATATTGAGCCTGATAATCAAGATACCCATTTATTCATCTATTATTTAATTTTTAAACACCATTTGTTAGGCAGCTATGTGGCAGGCCCATTAACTGATTCTAGAGATAAAGGGGAACAGTAAAAATATCGTCCACACACTCAGAAAACCTCAAGTCCAGCTTGGAAGAAAAGTGGTGAATAAATCTCACCCTTCCTGCTTAATCAGCATTAGCAAACTTTTTCTATTAAGTTCCAAACAGTAAATAAATATTTTGGTGTTTGAAGGTCAGATGGTTTCAGTCACAGTTGCTCTGCATTGTAATGCAAAAGTAACCATAGACAAGAAGTTAAATAAAATGACTGTGCTTCAATAAAACCTTATTTCTAGCTGCAGATGGGGACCAGATTTGGCTGGGGGCTAATTTGCCAACCTGCGTCTCTCTCAAGTGTCTCCTTCCATGTCCTTCAAGCCCAAGGCCAAGAAGCAGTTTGTTCTTCACCTGTCTCTACACTCCAGGGGTATCCTCCAGGTTTTCTCTTCCTGTCCTGTTGCTCCTTCCTCCCCAATCTTTTTAGCTTCCCCTCCCTGCCCAGCTCCCCCTCCCATAGGGTGGGGCAGGGAACCTGGAAACTCCCCCCTTCCTCTGGGGATTACACTGTTACAGTTCTTGGTCTTGTAACAGGGTGGTCCCCAGGAAAGGGGGAGGTTCCCTGCCCCACCCAAGGGAGGGTGGAGCTGAGCAGGAAGAGGAGAAGCTGCAGAAGAGAGTGAGGAAGGAAGCAGGATGGAGCCAGGAGACCTGGAGGAGGCGCATGGAGCCTAGAGACACGTAAAGAAACTGCGCTTGTCTTTTGGTCGTGGACTGGGTGACACAGATGTGGGTGAGACCCGTGGGGAGGTGACAATGGCAGCTTTTATCTTGATGTTGATTTTGCTCTTTTCCTTCCGGGCTTGTCTGGTTGTTTCTGACCCTTTGCTGTGGGTCCCCACTGGAAGATGCTTTAGACTTGGGGCAGGCTTTGGGGCCTTGCTCTGGGCCAATCCCATTTGGATGGACTTTTACCCACGAGGGGACGGGTCACTTTGGGTGCTTCATTTAGAAACTAGACTCTTTGCCTTTCCTGTATTGTTTCCTAGTTTTATTAAAGTTCCTTCCCATTAAAGTCTCCTATGTTTTGTGTTGATGCGGCGGATGGCAGAACCCATTTAGAATAGGCAGGTTTGCGGGGTTTGGGCTGCCCCTCTCCCTGTCCTGTAACAGTCTCACACTAGACTAAAATATTCTATCCACCTTTTAGCCAGAAGAGAAGCTTAACGTGTATTCTTTTACTGATGGACTGTCATGTAAGAATGGAGATCTGCTGTTAATGTGATTTGTTTCTACAGACGAGGCAAGATAAAGAGTTGAGGAAACTTAGAAATGGAGGCGTGAGGCCATGATGAAGTCCCAGGGGTGGCGGGGGGCAGCTTAAGATGGGAAACCTGCCACCCAGACAAGAGAAACTGGGAAAGGAACTTGCACTGTGGAAGGGGAGGGAGGCCCTCTGTCCCTGAGGTCCAGCAGGGCAGTGGTTTAAGGTAAAAATTAAAGATTTTATGTGCCAGAACATAATCTTTCCAAGCTCCTGGCCTGACATTTTGAAAAGCAGCCACCTACTGGGAAAGTTCAGTCCTAATAGAATGTAATAATAAACACGTTCACTTTTTCCCTGCTTGGGTGTAAATATGCTGGGTACTGAAGATTTTTGAAAGTTCCGACTTTTTACACCAGTACGTCTGAACTGCAGCTGCCCATTAGCATTGGTGGGGAACCTTTACATTTCAATAATGCTTTTCTTTCACGCTTGACTCATGCCTCCAAACCCCAGGTGATTCCAATGCCTTGTCCAAGGTGAGAAATGTTTTCTGTCTGGAAACATTCTAGGCAAAGCTGTCTGACTTCTCCCGGTGTGCTTCATGCTGGTTGGGAAAATGAATGGTCGTTTATGCAGCTGCTGTTCAAAGATTCAGTCAGTTGTTAGTTAGAAAATTAGCCTCAAATTGTCTTGCCATTATCAGTACACCAGGAACAACCAGATTAGCTCAGAGCCCTCAAAGAAAAGCACTTTATCTGTTTGCATTTAATCTTTGGGTCATTAAATCTGAGTTCTGAGATATTGGAGAACTCCTGTTTCTGGGTTTACCAAGGGCTTTTCCTGGCTTAACAAATCTAAACTGCTGTTCTGCTTTGCTGCCAAGGGCCCAGCTGTCATGTTTATCGGCCTTCTGACCTCCCCTTGCTCCCTTGCAGCCTTCCTGCCTCCTCCTCTTCATTCCACTCTCATCTCGAAGAACTACGCACCCTAGAAAAATCAGCCTCAGATGAGAGTGATCAGCACTGTGGTGACTTTTCCATGACTGCAGGTCAAGTGTGTTTGGCAGGCGAGAGAAACAGAAAGCCAAGCACGCATTCCAAGGGAAAGAAGCACCAATGAAAACAGTATGGTTTGCACTGTAGCGTGACTTTTTTTTTTTCAAAAGATGTAGGGGTTGGGAGGGGTTGGGAGGAGAGGGAAATGCAAATAGATGTTTTCTACCTCATAGTGAAAGCAAGTTGCTACTATGTGTATACAAATGGGGAATTGTGGTCTGGTACCAACACAAGTTAAAGAAAGGCAGCAAAGCTACAGATAAAAATCTGTCCAGGAACCCACACCTAGAGAGAGACACTCCTCCCGCAGCCAGGAGGCCTCTTTCGGCAGTCATGATAGCGTCCTGACTTGCTGAGAGAGCACAGATTCCCAGGAGCCAGAGGGAGGGTGGGCATGGCAGGGCCTAGGTAGAAGGGGCATCCAGTAGCCCCTCTGGCTCTGGTCAGCTCAGCCCTGGCACTGGCTGGGCAGGAGGCAGACCCCGTGGAGGACCTGGTGGGGACTGTGAGACGTGCCCAGTAGCCACAAGCCAGGCTGCTCCTGGTGTGTATGGGTTGACTCACGTTCCCCCAGAGTCATGTCCACCTAGACCGTCAAGAGTGGCCTTATCTGGAAATAGGATCTTTGCAGCCATTATTAGTTAAGATGAGATCGTACTGGATTGAATGTGGGTTCCACGTTACACAGAGAAAAGGGAAGAGAGAGAAGAGAGACCCACGGGACCATGTGAAGCAGGGGCAAAAGTCGGGGTGATGCAGCTGGAAGCAGGGAGCACTGAGGCTTCCCAGCTTCCCTTGCACCTTCAGAGGGAGATGATCTTGATATGGACTCCTAGCAGAATTTCCTCCACCCACCCAGACTGGCACAGGGTGGATCTTGCCTGGAGCTTTTCTGTTTCACTGCTCTGACCTTCTAGACGATCGTTCCTGGATCACCTTACATGAAACAGCAGCCAGCCTTCACATGCTGCTCCTTTTCTTCATATTATTCTTTTATTTGGCTTTTATCTGTCTCCAGAAAAAAGTTCCAGAGGACCAGGACATGCTCCCCCTGCTGTCTCCCCGGCGTGGGTGCACAGGCACGCACCCCATAGACACTGGCCAGCGAAGGCAGGGACTTCCGCTCCCTGTGCGTTCTCTGCATTGTGGGGATGGGCTCTCTATTATTTGGCATTTCCACAGCCTCATGCACTTGCTGATGATGAGAAGAGTCTCCAGTCCTTCCTCAAGGTCATACTTGCCCGGTTTTCTGTGGCGTATTAGCTGTGCGGACTGGAGCAAGACAGTGAACTTACAGCAATCGAGGAAATTCTTGTCTGGCTTTAAGTCTCACATCTACCTCTCAGGAGCTGCAACATCTTGGGCAGGTAGCCTAACCGCTCTGTGCCTCAGTTTCCTCACCTACAAAATGGGGCTGATGATAGCCTCTGCTTTCTAGGATCCGTTGGGAATTGAATCAACACAAGCAAAAGGCTTTAGAAAACCCAATAACTAATAGCAACTTTGAACAGGTTCCACGCACAGAACTATAATTTTGAAACGTTAAAAGCAGAGCAATGGGGAGGTAAGAAAAGTAGCTTCGCTTCTCAGCATTTTTCCTCTTCTCTTTCCCTCTGGGAGGGTAATATCCAGCTCACATGTTTGATTCAGG